TGATTCAGTTTCAGAGCTAGAAGATTCTGAATCAGAATAGCAGTAATCTTTATCAAAATTTTCGATATGAATATTTGGATTTAGCTGGTCTATGGCATTTTTGCTAATATTTTCACATTCTTCCAAATCTAGAGATTTTAAATTGAGACATGAGCAAGTAATTTCTTCGATAGTCTTACTTGTAATATTGCAGTAACTAAGGTTGAGATATTGGAACTTTGGGCAGGAACGTATGACATTACAAATTGATAGCTCACTAACAAAATCACAGCAACACAGATTGAGATATTCTAATTTATGACAAGTATGAGCCAGCGCTTCAGTAACAATATTAGTGATATCATTACAGCCAATTTCTATATGTCTTAAATTCAAAAATCTTTTGATGATAGCTATAATTAATCTATCATCCCATAAAGTCATAGCATCACAAAAGTCGAGATACTCTATATTGAAACATCTCTGCATTAAAGTATTAGTATCTTTGACATCTCCTTACTATATGTAATATCAAGTTTTCGTAAATTTGAGCATGAGTTTAAAATGCAACTTATAGATTTATCTATAATCTGACATGCTTCAGCAAAATGAAACACTTGTATATTATGGCAATTTTCTGCGATTTCAAACAAAGATTTATTGGTAATATTTCTGCAGTAAGAAATATTAATTTACGGCATGATTCTATAATTACATATAACCCTTTATCAGTTATTGCCTGAGCATCCTACAAATCGAGATATCTTAAATTAGGATATAATTCCGCTATTATAAATAATGCTCTATCACCAAAACCTATACTATTTTTGAAATCTAAATGAATTATATTCAGAAATATATTCGCAATACTTTTTATTTTTTTTATCTGAAAGTGAATGATAATAAGTAATTTCTAGATGAGTTGTATTCGAAACATGAGTTAGCTTATTCTTTTCACACATTATTTTTACAAATATTTTCTATTGAATACGATTTCTCTCACTATAAGTATATCCATCCAGAAAATAGTGCCTATATCTCAAATCATTCCCCTTTAGTTCGATATATTTCCATAAGTTAGGAATGGCACATTTATACCAAAATCAGTTAACAAATAGAGCAGGGTAGAGAGATTTATCTATCGCTAAAAAATGTAAAATCTGTTCTAATAGTTCTGGTAAATTTATAATATCCAAATAATATATGCTGTATCTTTAACAAAAAATAAAATTACACATATTGGTGATGAATCTAGCAAAATTTGCCAAAGACACGTTGCTATAGTGCAGGTCATCTAAAAGGCAAACAGTTTGAATTTTTTTTTGCTGATCACAGACCCGTCACGTGATATTTATCCAATTAAAAATCATCACGTGAATTAAAATTGTCACATGATTAAATATCAAATTATTAATTTATTGAGTTTTAATTTATTAAATTTTTTGTATTAAAATAAATGAAATTTATTAATTTATTTTATTTAATTCCTCTAATACATTTTCAGGAATTTTTCTATGTAATTCTATGGAAAATTTTCCTATTTTATTTCAGATTACGTTTTTTAGTGCAGTTTTTCTTTATTAAGTTAGAGCATGCTGGAAAAATTTTTTAAAAAAAAGTCCATTCAACCTATAAATTAAAATTCATCATCATCATTATTATCGTGTTACAAATTTTTACGTGATCAATTTCATTTTATTGGACAAAATCGTTATCACATGATAAATTGCAAGTCCGAAATTTAAACATTTTATAGGAAAATTAACAATTTTCAAATGCCTAAGGCTCAAAAAATTTCTAATCAACTAGAGATTTGAAGCTGTAACTTTTATTCTCTATTATCTATATTATCATTATTACGGATTGTTTTTTTTTATATCATGTAGAACAAAAGTTTTAGGATTTTAAAGTCATACAATTTTATTTCTATTTATAAATGATCTGCACCATAGTAGCTATACATATTGATAATATCAGATATTTCATCATTTTTATAGACTCTGATTTCGGGTCTGAGTTGTACTCATCTTCAGATCTAAAGTCCTCTGATTCTGTATCGCTTATAGCATAATTATCACCTATATCAAGGCAGTCAGATTCTTGCCTTAATACGATTTTTGAAAGCAGTTTAAGATACTGGGGAGTTAGGTTCTTATCACCATGAATTTTGAAAACGTGTTTACTTTCATAATCTCTTAATTTTTTAGGTATGATTTTATAAGGTTCTTGCTTTAAGAATTCATTAAATGGTTAAGTATTACGTGTTTCACTTTTAGTAAAAATAGGGTCAGATAACTTTTTAACCTTAATTGCATCTTGAATTCAAATAAACAATTCTCTTATGCATTCTGGATTCTTTTCCATAGAAAGAAATGGTTGAGAATCAGGATTCTTCTTCTTTTTTCCTCTGTTCTTTAAATAGTCAGTACAGTATCAAAAATAACCCTCTTTATACTATGATAGAATGTTCAAAGAGTCCAGTTCATAGATATTGATCTGAAGAGATCTTACTTCTGCAGGTCTTATACTCAACATCACTATCACATTTGCAAGATTCTCTCTAGTAGGAATTTTGGAAATATCTATGTTTTGAATCCTTTTACTTTCATTTGCTAAGGAGAAATATATGAAAATTCTGTCCAGATTAGCTATTTGCTTTTTAGTTCGTTCTTTCTGAATTTTATTAGAATCTTAGATAGGATCCTTATCTTTGGCAAATTCTTCAATAATTGCAGGATCTACACCACCTTTTGTTAACTTTACATAGAATGTTGATTAACGCGAAACACTGGAAACGATTTCATTTTCATCTTTATTTTTCAGATCCACTGCCCAATGAATAGCGATAATGTTTACAAAATCACTGGCCTTAGCATAGTATTCTGCCTTTCCCTCAATGGTGAGTTTTTCTTTCTCTTATCTGATAAGAGAGCCTTTATCTGCTCTTTACTAAATGAGCGTCTATTATCAATTCCTCTGTTATCAGTACTTTTAACAAAGGCAACTTTAACACATCTGCGAGCCATCCAATCAGAAAGCAAAGCATCAAGTTTAGGAGCATGTTTGCTTAATTGTTCTGAGGTGAAGTCAGCCAACAGATTATGCTTTTCTAGGAACTGCTCTAATACCAAGACAAAGTTATTAACTTTAAGTTTTCGGGTCTTTGGAGTAGCTGTTTTAGTAGCTATGTCAATACTAACTGTTATCTAGTTATATTATGTGAGAAAAATTCAATTTGAAAAATTGGCTAGAGAGTCACAAAAAAAGTGAGTAAGATTTGTAACTTTGGCCAAATACACTAAAGTAATGCTGCTATTGGGCATTTTGAGCATTTTATACACAAGGTAAAATACAGTTTGTATAATCGCCAATTGTATTTATCAAAACATAAGTTTTATACCCCTTTTTGAGCAAATAAACAAATATATTAATTTACTTTAACGAACACAAGATTTGTCCCTAAAAAATTGAGATTTATTTTTTTTTAATAAGGGATCAGCATGATCGACCAATGTAAAAAATAAAAAAAAAGCAAAAAAGTGTAACTTAATTTCATTTTTTACAAGAATGTAACAAATTAACCATACCTACACTATTAAGAAATAATATACCTTTAAGTTGTTTTTTTAAAATAAATAGAACAATACATTTTGTAACAATTAAACCTTAAAACGATATTCCTTCAAAAGTTCAAAATTTTTCATTATTATTTTATGGTGAGAATGAAATGTACCCATTACTGGAAAGTAAAAATACTTTGTGAACTATATATATTGTAGTGAGTTTGAATTTAAGAGTTTTGATAAGGCATAGTAAGTTTTTTTAACGTTAACGTTAATGATAATATAAAAAATTAAAAAATTACTTAATTTATTATATACCGATACTGAATACAAAATTTTAAATCCGATTATTCAAAAGAGAATAGCCTGTATTATTGAGGAATTATATAGAAAGAGCATTATCAAACTTAGTATTTATCAGACATGTAGGTTAGTATTAGAAGTTAAATTCCATTTATTGCTCTTTGACATTATATTTAAAGGAACATTTTATGATTATTATTTCATTTGTAATTAGATGCACTATATGTGGGAATATCTGTGAATATTATTCAGAGAAATAGATATCAATTTATTTTTATTATACTGATACTAATTTACTTTTTATATGAAAAGTTTTTTGATAGAAATGGTAATTCTTTTTTTTTTCCTTGAATAATTACCATCACAACTGGTATTATTAAACCACTAAGAGCAATCCTGAAACTTACTGATCAGATAAATATGAAAATGAAGCTATAGAATAAAGATGAACATGATATTTATTATGGTGATTGATATAAATAAGGAATAATGTATAAAGGTATTTATTTTACTTATATTTAATATATCTATTATATTGTTTTACTATTATTATTCTTTCCAATTTACATTTATAATTTATATAGGGAAATCAGAAGAATATAAATATACTTATTTGAAACAGATAAGCGTTAATAGAGATGTATCAAGTTATAAAAATTATAAATCGCGTGCTTTTTAAGCAGATATTAGAATATTAGTACAATAATTATTTTTATTGATCTATTAATAGCTAGTAATAGTGATATTAAAAGATTTGCCTTGTGCTTCCAAAATTGACATTATCGATACAATATATAAAAAAACCAAATAAGGCGCAATTTTTTTTAATTATTTTAACTTTATTAATGTTAATAAAAATAAATTATAAAATTATAATTTAATTAATGAACGAATGAATAGTTGATCAAATTATTAAGGTTTATATTAACATTTATTACATTATTATTCATTAGATTCATGGTTAATAAAAGATGATGTTTTTAATTCATAAATAAATATATCACGTAAATCCTATTTAGCTGTAATGTCTATTGCTAGATGAGTATAATCTACTAATAATTCTTCACCCATTCCTCTATTTTCTTGAATATTTATATTTTCTCTTTCAACACTCTCTTCTTTATTAAGTATTTCTTTCCATTCCTGTAATCTATTTTACCAGTCTTGTTCTGTAGTAATATATCCTTCTTCTAATTTTAAATCTTCTAAATTTTGGTTTGTTTTATTATTTCTGATTTTATTATCCAAAGTTTTTGGATTTTCTATTTCATTAATAGGAAAAACATTAATACCAGTTGTTTTTTTTTCATCACATTCTCTTTTTAATTTACATTCTTGTTGATGGATATCAGCTCGAATTTGAGATAATGCTAAGACCTTCTCATATTAAATTATAAAATATTCTATAAGTTTACAATTTATTTACCTTAAACTTAAATATAAAACATAATTAATTCTTACCTTCATTGCATTACATTGAGATATATGTAAAAATCCTATTGATGAAAATAATCTCTCTACAGATGCTGAATTTACAGTAATGCTAAAAATCCTTGTAGTAACTATGCCTAATTCTTTAGAATTTAAAGTAACAAAATTCCAAAAACTCAGAATATCATCTTCAAATTGAACAATTGTCTCGTTATCAAAAGGAAATTTTATACTTTGATATAATTCAAACTTGGACAAAATTTTAATTGGTGTTTTTTTTTCCTAGGCTTTGTAATAATATACTAAAAATTTATCTAATACAACATAATTAATATTTTTCAAATCAGGGTTAAACAATTTCATTTGATAAGAAAGGTGAAGTAAAATTGAAAGTAATAAAAGTAGTTGCTCCCAACTTTTCCATCGCTTTTGTAAATGTAAAATCATTTCTTTAGCAAAAACGCGATCACTATAATCCTTCCAAAATTTAATAAAAAAATTAAAAGAAATTGCTACATCATATAATCTAGCTTTATCAGCTTGCATTTGATCTAAAGCACCACAATACAGCTTCATTAACATTGCTAATTCTACAATATTTGACCACCAAGTTTCATCAAAAAGTATATTACAAATACTTTGTGGCAAATACAATTCCTTAGTTGTAGTTTGTCTTTGTGAAGTGCATTCGTCTAAAACAGACAGACTATATTGAGTAACTAAATTCTATAAAAAAAATGTATATTAGAAAATTATAATACATTAATAGAATTATTTTGTAAATAAACTCACTTGTAAAGCCCACTTTATTTTTAATAAACTCTTAAAATAATCATAATACAAGTTCCATCTTATATTTCCTGATTTTATAATAAAAATATAACATTTCTTTTTGAATAGTTCGCAGTTTACTGATAAAATATGTATTATTTGGCTGATTAAAATATAAAAAAACCTTTAATTCATTAGTTGAAGTTTGAGTAAATATATTTGATTCTTTGAATATTTCTCTAATAGCAAGATTACACTGATGTGTAAAGCATGAAAGCCAAACAATATCTATATATTTGAGACGTAATTGCTGACTTTAAAAAAATATATTATTAGTTTATTAAATAATATAAATAAAAGATAATATAAAAATAATTACTGGGCACATGCATAACTAGTTACACTATCACTAATTATAGCTGTAACTTTAATATTATCCTGTTTTAGTTCATTTAACATATTTTCTATATGAGGTATTATATCAATAGCTTTACCATGCTCTCCACTAATGTTATACACTTTTCAAACTAAAGTTTCACCTGAAGGCAAAACAAGCATTAATCTAAGTAACTCTTGATTAATTATATTTTTCCAACCATCAAAAACTAAAGTAATACTATCTTGATTTTCATTTGCCATAATTTTTTTTTTACAAGCATTATTTAAATCAGTTACTGCTGATGAAAGAATTGAACCAGCTAATTGTTTTTGATTGGGTAGTTTTAATTTAGGATTTAACCATTTGAATAATGTAATTGTAGCTGGATCATTTACCCATTAGAAAGAAAATCTATTTGACGCAGTTACATTTAAAATAAGATTGTTAAATTTAGTGATTTCAGATTTAGTAAGATTTCAGGCTGCATAAGAATTAAGCGAGGTTTGTTATGATTTTTTTGAAATTCTTGTTATATCAGTTTTAATTCGTGATCGTGTAGCTGGTAGATCACTCGTAAGATCAATAGCATCTATTTTACAATAATTTTATTTAATTTAAAAATCAAAAGTAAAATAATATATTTTATTTTTAAAAATATATTTACCAATACATTATTTTTTGACTGATATTTCATTATCTGAATTATCAGATTTATGCAAAATCTTGTATATCCTTTCTTCTCCTCATTTTTCTTTAAAAAAATCACAATTTTCTAAGTGGCATTTGACACAATCTTTTTTATTAGTAAATATATGTGCATTATCTCCAAAGTTATCTCTACACGCTATACACTGTACTTTTTTGTTATATATGCTATTTGATTCATTTTCTAATATTTTAATATAGCTTATAAAATGATATTTTAGACAACTGCTACTATTAATACATGACATTTTTAACAAAAAAAAAAATGCAGAAAATAAATTTGGAAGAGCAATTGAAGATCACTGATCATTTTAAATAGTATTGACAATTACTTAAATTAAAATCAGATCAAGTTTTTTTTTATGATTATTACTGATTATCAAAAATCATATGATTTACATAATCAAACTATTGGGTTAAATAATAATGTATTTTACCTGCCCAAAATGTACAAATACCCAATCTATTCCATTAGACATGTATAAAACCCAGCACTGCATTAAAGCAAAGAAATTTTGAATATCTATAATAAAAGTGAAAGTAAAGTTTTAAGATTATTAATATTAAATTACCTTATATGACTCGTTTTATCTGCTAATACATCAAGAAAGATAGTTCGATATGTGAGAAAATGTACATGAGCAATTTAGGATGTTCCAGACATTTTAATTCCCTTCCTAAAATAATATGTCCTATCTGTAATAAGTTAACATATTCTGATACTAGAATCTGTAACACATATAAAAGAATTTATAAAAATGTCTGACGTGAAGGTAAAAAAGTTAAAATAGAATCAGACATGATCGAGACATCTAGCTAAATAATAATTTAACTAAAGTATTATTTTTCTTATTCTATAGAGTCAAAGAGTTTCTGAATATCATTATTTGTTTTTGGTCTATATGATAGAAGTTCTAAAACGCCTTTATCTCTGAAACCAGTACTGTTATATGGCTGATGATTAATTCAATATGAGTATTGCCTAACTTGTTATCCTTTAAGTCCTATTTTTTTTTATCATTTTCAACGTTATACCTATACCAATTGCCAGTAATTGCATTAATTATTTTTATAGCTAAATGAAGATCTGGTGTTTCTTTTGCACGAGACTTAAAACCAAAGAGTAATAATAATTGGTTTTGAATTTCTATAAACTTTTCACAAGATCGCATAAATGATTCTGATGCAGTATCGCTAGAAAGAGTACGCTTATCATTAATACCAGTAAAGCCTAATATTTGAAAAAGTTCTTGTATAACTTCCCAATGCTTTGCTAAATAAGATTTACGTAAATCTTTTGCCACTGATTTTTCTAGATTCTCTTTAGCTTTATAGCAGGCAATTTCCCATTGTATATTTTCCTTAGCTTTCAATCCCTTCATTATATTCTCCTCATCATGACCTTGCCTTTAAAAATAAGTTAACCATAAGAAATGCTTTCGAGCTTCAGGCGAATTAAAATTTTCAATGAATTTTCTATTGCAAATATTATTCCAATCCTCGATACTCATGTCTTTACAATAAAGATTCTGCATATAAAAATGTTTAAGTGCCATAGTATTTGCGATAGAATGCTCTTGGTCGAATTTAAGAACTTCAGCTTCTTTAAGGCTAAGATTCTGGAAAGTAGTAACTACATTAAAATCCGTTTCTTTAATAACTAATGCTTCAACTCTAACCTTATTACGGATTCTTTTATGATTTCCTATAACTTTTCGGCTCTCATCCATTTTTATTAGTTAGAGAGAAACGTCAGTACTGGCTATAAGACTACAAAGCTTTTCAATAAAGTATCTTGCAGAAAGGCGTTTTTGATGCTCAACTTCAATGAAAGTTATTACAACCAGAGACTCATCAACTTTATAAGAAATGCTATTATTATTTCATTCACAATGTCTCTTTATTGCTGTAGGCAAATTATTAGACTAAGCACTTTCAAGCTCTGCTCAAATATTTTCATAACCTGGCGAGCGAAAAGTTTGTTAGAATTTTTCTGATAGAATAAAGAAATAATACGTCAGGAGAAATCACGAATTAGGTAAAGCATTTGTACAAGAGCTTCAACATGAACTGGAGTGGTAATATTTGTAATGGTTATGACTATATCGAAATAGCCTGTAATTTCAAAAGATATATCTACTTCCACTGTATTTGTATAAGCCACGCAGTCGAGTTCGCCTCAGGCATCATTAATATTAGAAAAGTCTTTTTAATGCTGAGTATATATTTCAGCTTGCTTTATCTTCGCTTCCAATAAATTATTTTCTGACTCTATTTTTTCAGTTTCAATATTCCTCAAAAACGACTTCACATCTTCACCCTGTGCTTGAGTCTATAGAAGTGAGAGAGAATGGTGAAATTCACACAATCTCAAAAGTCTGAAGTGATAAGCCAGTCACCAGGGACTGCAAATGAATGTATTAGTTCTTAGCACTGTGGCGTATAAGCTTCTAGCCTTCATGCAGATTTAAAATGAAGTCCATCAAGAGATATTACTTCATTTTCAAGCCCAGTACATAGCTGGGTTGCTTAGATGGTTGTTTTTGATACGTAGCTCAACTTCTTTTCTATCCCTTACTACTTTGTCTTTTTCTTAAGTGTAATATAAACAGATACTGACCTTTAGCATTTTATCATTAAGGACAAAAAAAACTATCTTCTATTTTTTGTTTGCCGTATTTTTCGTAACATAAGACATAAACTTAAAAATCGTGAAGTGCTCAGTTTACTTATCGAAAGAGAAATTCTTTTTTGTTCTACAAAATTTCAGTATTTCAAGAAAGCTGAGTGAGTTTGGATCCAAAGCACTTTTCTAATCTTCAAACTATATATATATTATTTTCAAATGAAATCTGGAGGATCAAACAAATATTTAAAACTTATTACTATTTATTGAAGCTTATATTATCAAGGTAATTTATGATAAAGAATATAGTTAACTATAATAGTAGAGAAAATTTTTTCTTGCGAGAAATCGATTGTCACTGGAATCAGTAAATCAGCCATATAATGTGTAACTGATCAATCAATTTGTGCGACAATTAATGTTAATAGTATAAATTATATAGGTGATCATATTAGTCAATCGATCATGTAGTCATATCTTGCAAAAAGATTTTACTGAAGGATGACATAGAAAATATGCATATAGATTTTTTTCACCTGTTTGATCACTTAATAATGTTTTGAATTTAAAATAGGCAGTAAACACGTTGTGAGGAAAAAAATTCAGTATAATTTTACAGATGATTTGCGGTGATATCATTTATTACATCATATATAGGGCTTCGTCAATAGAAATACGGTATCTGGCGATTTTTACCAAAATGAGTTAAGTATAGTGCTATATAAAACAGACATTCTAGAATATATTTCAGTCTTTAAAATTATTATTTTGTATAGTATAATTTTTTTTATGCCTATTTTTCACGATTTTACATGATCAGTAAGCCAATTTAAAAATAGAATTTTAAGAATTCTCATAAATTGAGTTGATGATCTTTGAACTTCCTGTAAATTTACAATAATTAATATAAATAATAAAAAAAATTTTTTGTACACGAAAAAGTTATCTAAATAAATACCATAAAATTGTGAAATTAAGCATTGATTTGAACCTATTTAAACATAAATAATTAATATATAAACCTCTAAAATTCAATGATTTACGGTATCTCTGCATTACTTAAACTGAAAATGACTCATTCATTATTAAATAGCATTTTTTTTGAAACCTATAAAGAGCTTCAAATATTGCAACAAGATTTTTCTTATTTTTAAACACATTTCGTAACTAATGATAGCAATATTTCTGAATTAAATTTATAAAATAATGATGAAATTTTAGACGAAGTAGAAGCGGAGAATAGTGAATTTTTAGTTATTACAAAAACTCAATTACAAAAATATCAACAACTTTTTAAAAAAACTGAAATTATTGAAGGTAATAACTTAGGTGATATTGAAATGCAACTCTTAGATAAAGAAATCAAATAAAATAATGAAGAATGTTTCAAAAAAAAATATAATTAAAACATCATGTTGTCAAAATAATTGTCTAAAAGATAAAATTAATACTGAAAGAGCTTTTTTGAGAAATTCAAATTTTAAAAGTTTATCAAAAAGTAATCAAGATTCTTTTTTAATAGATTATCTTGTCAGTAGTTTAGGATCACAACATGTAACAGTAAAAGGTAATAAAAGGGTTAAGGCAGTTTATGATTATTCTTTTAACGCAAAAGAAATTTGTTTAAATGCTTTTAAATTTATTTATAGGATTGGAATTACAAGATAAGAAAATATACGAATCTATTTCTCTGTTGAAGATATCAAAGTTAGGGTTTATAAAGCTATTAGAAAGCCTAGCAATAGAACAATCTTATTTTTAACAATTATAAAAATTGTTAGTTTTATATTAAGTTACGCTAACAGATTGGGTCTTCCATCACCAAGTTTATATTTTAACATTATATTATATTTTATTTACATTTTTACATATTTGATTTTTACTTTAAGATGACATTTCAGATGTGAAACAATAGAAGTTATTTTTTTACCCGTTATTGAAAGCTATTCATCTTTACATCAGAAGTATTTAATGGCAATTTAACAATACAAAAGCATTAAAAAATTAACTATCAGTTTAAGTATTTTTTGTCGAGTTTAGAAAAATTATAAAATCAAAAATAAGATAATATATAAGTAAATCTAAAAAAAAATTAAATTTATTAATCACTTTTTCAATAAGATTAATTTTTTTTTTTTAAAAAAAAAATAACTTAAAGACTTACTTTTAAAATCAAGATTTAAAGAATCTAGAAATTATAAAAAGAAAGAATTGTATTTAGTATGTTTTTTTTAAAAACAAATAATTACTTAATAAAATTTTTATTAGAATTTACAATCAAATAATTTAAGATTAATAATTACAAAAAAGTAAGTATATAGAATAGAAATAGAATGGGATAATCTTAAAATATATTTTCTATTTTTTATATAAATTACATGATTTATAAATCTTTCAACCAATCATATTGCTCTAATATTATCTTAAAATAATACTTTATAAAAAAATCAAAAGGAATTAATTTATTTGAAATGTTTATAAATTAAATAAATAAATATATTACTTATCATCTGTAAAGTCAATTGTAATACTAAAATTGCTAGTTAAAACTTAATTTTAATATTACTTTAATATAGTGACTATTTATATTAACTTTAATTGACTATTTTAAAAAAATTTAATTTTATCATTTCTGAAAGAAACTAAGAAAAAGAAGAGGAAAGTAAATAAGTATAACTAATAATAATAAATAAAAAAATAAAAAAGAAACTAATAACTTACTTAAGATTCATAAAAACTATTACTTGAAAGCCTAAATAGATTTTTTGAAAGAAAATAAAAAATTAGTTTATGTATTTCTTTTATTTTATTTTAATAGATATATACTAATTTTTTTCCCTTAAGTTTCAGTTTAACAAATATTTGGAAGGAAAGAAAAAGGTTAATCTATGTATTTGTATTTATTTAATTTTAATATAAATTAACCCTTCTTTTTACTTTTAGTAGTTGAAATTATTCCTAAAAGAAGTCTAAGAAAAGAAAAAAAAGTAAGTATGTATAACTATAATAATAATAAATAAAAATATTACCTTACCTAAAGCTTTTTTTTAGTAACAATAATAAAAAACTGATAAAAAATAACTATCTAAGTCACAAAAATATTTTAAATCATTTCTAAAATTAGGCAGATATGTTTACTTTATTATCAACTAATAATTTTTCATCATAATTTTATAATTATAAAATAATATATATTAATAAGCTAAAATATAACTATGAATTTTAATAATGATTTTAATAGTAATGATGATAATAATTATATTAAATATAAATAAAAATAGATATTATATAATATTGTAAAAGAAATATTAATAGAATTGATACAAGATAATTTTAATAATTATATTAATTCTAATTAAATAATATATATTATAAGAATTTGACAAATATATTGATTAATATAATTTCTATATCTTTGATACATATAATAACTTTCAATTTCATTATTAAATAATATTGATAAATCCACTTGATTTGCTACATATTTATGAGTTTGATTAGGAATAATAAGATTGTTAATTATATAATCTAAAGTTTTAACATTTTTAAAAGTCTGAGAGTTATCAATTATTGAATCTAATAAATAAGTAACTTTAAGATGAAAATATAATAAGAATGTCTTTTTAATAAAAATCCTGATTATATTAATTAGAATATCATTAAGAAATATTGCATCTTTAATAATAATCACAAGTTAAGTAAAAAATATATTTTAATGAGAGTAATAATAATAAAAGAATCTAAGTCTAGTTCTATTAGTAATTCAGTTAAAGCTAAAATACTTTTAAAAATAAAAAATATAAATAAAATGATTATTTAAATTAACAACTATAATAAATAAATTACCTGTAAATAATTAAGATCATTATTAAGTAGAGATTAATATTGAGTCAAATATTTAAAACTTTAATTTCTAGAAAAATTTGTTTTCATTATTTTTACCATAATATAGTAATATAATTTTAATAATTATAGAACCATTTTTTGAATTAAAATTTTTATATCAGAAGAAAATAATTTTATTTTATTATATATGTTAAATATATATTCACTTATTATCTATAGAAAAAATATTATTTTTTATGTTATGTATAGAATTATTGATTAAAAATGATAATTTAATATAAATAAAAAATTTACATTTAAATTATCATTACTACCTTATATTAATGATAAAGCTGTAATTGATGTTGATATGATTAATATATTAAGGTTATATATTTTTACTCTTAGTAGTAAAAAATATTTTATTCATTAACATCTAAGTTATTATTACCTTGTGTAAATAATGAAGTTATAGTTAATATTGATATAACTAATATATTATGATGATATCTTGATCTTAATGATAAAATATTATTATCTTCTTTATCAAGGTTATTAGTCAATTTAAACTTAGAAAAGCTAATATATTAATTAGAAGAATAAGAATTATATTAGATGTTAAAATAAATAGATATAATATTGATATATTATTAAAATGTAAATATTTGTAAACTTTATCTTGAAATTAATATATATCAACATTTTTAGTAATTACTTTATCATAAGTATTGTTAATATCAGTTTATTTTAAATGGTTTGAGTTAATGATACTGAACGAAACTAAAATATTTAATCATATGACGAAACTGAAACTATTTAGACTTTAATAATTAAAATACTGAAATGCTAAAATTTTATTTCTATAGATTTTCCATAGATATTTCATAGATTTTCATAGATTTTAACTCACAATTTTTAATAATATTTTATTTTACTATAAATTTTAAAAATTTAGAATTTTTGTAAAATAAAATATTATTTACTATATTTTATTTATTATATAGGAAGTTTAATAGAAAAATATTTTAACAAAATTTTGATTTTTATTGCATTTAGTTTTTGATATTATTAGATTAAATGTAATGAGATCTTAATTTTAGTCAAAAAATTCTTAGAGCCTGATTTTCCTAATAAACTTATCATATAAATAATTCTTATCTATAATATTAATTAGTAATATTTTTAATTATATATTAATTAATATAAATAATAAAAGATTTAAGTAAAATTAATAATATTAAATAATAATATATTTTTTAATAAAGATAAATAAATAAAATTTTGTAATTTATATATTATAAAGCAATTTAGTCATTTAGTCATTTATTAAAAGTTTAGAATTTGGTCAAGAGTTTAGACTTTATTCAAGGGTTTAGTCAAATACAAATTTGATGAAAATTTATTTATAATAAAAATAATTTAGGCAGGCATTACTAATTATATCTAAATTTTAAATAGATTTGATAGGTAATCTGAAAATTATTCTTAATCTAAATATATAATATATTAGTAATTTAGATTTACCTAATATAAATATAAATACTACTTATAAATTAGTAAAAAATAATTTTATTTTATATTTTATATTAAATCTTTTTTTATTATATTGATGATTATAATTATTTTAAATAGAATTTTATATTTGATAATAATTATGTTATTTTGATTTATATAATAGTTATATAGATTTTTTATAATAAAAAGGAAGAAACTTTGATAAAAAAATTTTTTTTGAATTAATATTAAATCTGTATTTATTTTATTAAAAAATCAATAATTAGCATAAAAAGTAAAATTTATTTTTTTTTGCTTTTCTACTAAGTCATTTATATTAGGTAATTGGATAATTTTAGACAAGTTTTATATACTTTTTCCTAGATCAAAACCTTATTCAAAATTATCTAAAATCAAAAAAATATGTTTAAAATCATTACTAATATAGATTATAGATGTAAATAAAAATTTATTTTGCTATTATCATATAAAGTTAGAGAAAATACCCATTTTATTATGATACACAATGATATCAGCCAATAATTATCAACTCAAAACTATCCCGAACGTTCCGACTATTTCTTTCAATATATGTTCATTCAATATAACAATATTGGATGATTTGTCGGGTTATCTAAGATCGCTTAACAGTTCAAGATAGCCACTTCGTGGCAACATAGTAACTGTTATAATTATCCGGCAAATTACTCCACGTCCAAAATATAATCATGTTATGAATATCATGCTTTAATCACCGAAATTTCCCGAATTAGCTTGAACGCTAGTTGTATTTATAATATGACGACAATGAAAAATTAGTAAAATTTTCTGGCAAATTCTAGGTTATTTATTTAGATTTGATGATCTTTTAAAAATACATATAAATAGGTAGCGGCACATTTTAACCGCGTTTCAATACAAAAAAAAAAAATTTTTTTTTTCAGATAATAATGTCTCTTATTAATCGTTTTCTTCCAGAACTTAATCGAGCCTTTACATTACTTGACGAGCCATTATTATCTAATGTCGCTCGTCGTTATCCTTCTTCTTTTCCAACCTTATCGGATCGATTAACTTTCCCAAATATTTATCGTCCTTCTGTTGACGTATCAGAATCCGATAAAAATTATGTTGTCGAAGCTGAAGTTCCTGGTATGAAAAAGGAAGATTTGTCTGTGGAGTTCTTGGACGATAATACTCTCCTCTTGAAAGGTAAAGTTGAGAAAGGAACTGCAGCTCCGGCAGAAGGAATGAGAACCGTCGATAATACCGGTGATACGATTGCAGCTGAAGGTAGCACCGATTCCACCCCAACCGGAGAAGTTGTTGAGGCTGGTGGTGCTGCTTTAGATGAACCAAAATTTTGGACTTCTGAGAGAATGAGGGGTCATTTTCAACGTTCATTCCAATTTCCTGGTAAAATTGATCCCGAGAATTCGAAAGCTTCTTATAAAAATGGTATTTTGTCGATCGTCATTCCAAAGGTTGAAAGACGTGGAAAACAAATTTCAATTGAATGATTTAAGATGATCATCTTTTTAAAAGTCCATTTTGTTTTTCCACATTTTTAATAATATAAAAAAAAAAAAAAAAAAAAATTGGGGGTGTTTATTTTAAATTATCTGTAAATCAAAAAATGGGAGGACATTAAAAACTTCAAATCAAAATATTTTTTCAATAAAATAATGTTTTTAATAATATAATATTCACTTCAAAACAAAATCGATTTTTTTTTACAATTAAATAAAGTAATTTTACATTTGATTAAAAATTAATCATAGTGCCAGTTGGAATTACTGCGCTACATGTTAGTTCATGAAATAATTTTTTTTTATATTCGCGTTGTTTAAACTTCGTTCGACAGCACACTATTGCTTATGCACGCGTACCTTCTGGGTACCATAGCTTCTTTTGGAGTAGGTTATACCGCTTGTCACTATAACCTGGTGAACAAGCTTTACGAAAACTTCAACGACATTCCATCAACTACTCACAAGGTAGCTTCGAAGTTTAAAAGCTTTTGACATTTCTAAAATTTCGTAAATATGCGCGATTTAATTTGGTTCTAACTAATTATTCCTTCAATGAATAGCGTCACCTTCTTTATGTACTAGTAGGACTTAGTTTTCTTTTTCTTCTTATACTCTTTCCACTTTACAAAATTGCAGATTGTGAGTCAAAAAAAGTAAACTTTGACTTTAAAATTATCATTTCTCAAATTTAATTTGGATCAACCATATAAACTGAAAACTTTTTTTTTTTTTTGCAAGAATACTGGTTACCCGTATAGGACCTCAGCACGAGAGCACCTTCAAAGAAGAGGAAGTTTTTAACTTTAATAAGATAGATTCGTCAAAAATTTGTTTATATGACTTTTAGTGAGGTAAATTACGAGAATAATATATATCTTTTAGTATTTTTTTTTTTTCACGTTACAAATATTAATTGTTTTGTTTTTCTTCGTGATATAAGTTAGATAAATAATTCTTTCCTTATAAAATGAATACTCCAGGAGCCGTATCAAAAATATTCTGGCCGGCACATGTATGCACACCCCGAACTAAAGCTGGATTCTTGATCGGTTGGAACATTCGTAGTTTTACCACTTGTATTGCATCGGTAATCTCGGATGTAAATGTAAGCGCGATATTATCAAATTTATCATTTTTAATTTTTTTTTTTTTTGTTTTTTTTAAAAAAAAAAAATATATTTAACTTAATATTTTTCAAAGCTTAGTGATCTAGAAGCCACATTATCTGCTTTATCAACAGATACTAGTTCATCGTTTGTATACATGGGAAAGGTGTGTGGAGCACCTCCAATAGTTTTGGGTCTTTTGACGACATTTTCTGACATCAACGAGGAAGGGGGAAGTATCCTGAATGCAGAAGGTAAGATTTTCTATTATCTATTTTGTTATTATCTACTTTCTTAAATTCTTTATCCGATAACTTTTTTTTTTGATGTAGGTGTTGCAGACAAAAGGAAGACGGCGAATTTATGGATGACAATCCAATTGCAGAGCAATAACATGCCTCTTCTAAGGTAAGAGCGATCTTTTGTATTATATGTTTAATTCGACAAATTAATTAATACTTTTTGAATTATATTCAAAGATCTATCTATTGTTGTGGATATCGTTATTCAAATGTCAGTTCAGAAATCATTTTCTACAAACAACCAAATCCAACTAGACTTCAATACATTTCACTTGATCCATTAGTACTAGATATTCAACAAAACGGCAGACATAAGGTTGTTCAAGATTCACTTCTTATTAAAAACATGAAAAAAATCATAAACACTCGTTTACACTCGGGGAAACAGCGAACGCAGATAAATGACATGGAACTTATTTTGAATCAGGTTAAAATTAAATTCTAATAATTACTTTACATAAGATTTCGGAATTTAATTTTTATTTTGCTTTAGATTAATTCTTCATTTGAAACTGAGAAAGCCATCACAACTAGGTGTCGATTTTTTATCAATCGACGTAATCGCTGTAACATTAGCGTTTCTGAAACAATGATGGAATACGCAATTTTTATTAAAAAGAGTTTTCTTTATCCCATAAAATATCTGCTGCTTGTTTTCCGACCAATCCTTGTACAACCTATAATTTTCTTTTTTATGTTGGTGAGAATATTCGCCGAGATCGTATTGTGGATTTTAAATTTACGGTTTCCCCCTTTTATGTTTAATGGAATGGCATTAAAGGATTTATCTGCGACATGTAACATAAACTTTAATATTTGTGATTTTATTTAAATGTAAACCTTCATATTTAAAAACTGGATTTATAACATGTTAATGTAGCGCAGCAAATTGATTTACGACTTCAACAAGCATGTTTTTGGCCTTGGCAATATATGTTACTTAGGCGAAGGGATTGGACAAATACTGCGACAACACGAGCACAATATATTAGGTGAAAATTGTAGTCTCAATTATGGAAATATTTTTTTTTAAAAAAAGAAGTATAATTTTATTTTTTTTTTTACTAATATTTTATATCTGTTTTTTAAATTTACAGCTTTTATAATAGCATGTGGCTTGTAGCAAATGATATTATTATCGGGCTTACTATCGGTTCTTTTCTTGCCAATAATTGTGAGTACGTGGCAAACCTTATTTTGAAGGACTATCTTGATGTAAGTCAAAGTTAATTTAAACTTGTATATTTCTTAAATCAACTTTTATAAATTTTTTTAATATTCTAGCATTATACGATAGAAAAATTAGTATCAATGATAGATTGGCTGATGGGTTGGCCAGCCGGTTTGAAATTAAATAGTGAATTAGACAGGTTTTTGGGCGAACTATTTCTTCGGCTAATCGATTTATGGAAAGGTATCAAAGAATTTATATTAGTTAGACTTAAATATTTAAATATTGATATATATATATATTATAGATTGTGTGGATATTATAGGGCCATTGACACCAACTATTATAGGAATTATTGGGTTATCTGGAATGTTCGGTGGATCAATGGTTATATCATTATTATCAGATTTTTTGTCATTTATGACAATTCACATCTATTTATTTTATATGGTCGCTGCCAAAATATTCAATTGGCAGCTTACCATATTATATTCTCTATTTAATTTATTCCAAGGTACTAAAGTTGATTTGATTTTAGCTACATGAATATATTTAAATATTTTAATTGTAATTTATTTAGGCAAGAAATGGAACACATTACGGAACCGTATTGATTCCTGTGATTATGATCTGGACCAGTTGCTCTTGGGCACTATACTATTTACGCTATTAACATTTCTATTTCCTACAGTAGTGGTTTATTATGCAACTTTTGCGGCTGTAAATATATATATTTTTTTCGCTTCGTTATTACAATCTTAATATGTCACTAACAAAAATTCTCATTTCTAGAGTCGTGTTGCTGTTATCTTTCTGCAAGCAGTTATGGAAACTCTATTGGCGTTCTTAAATCACTTTCCATTATTTGCAATTATGTTGCGATTCAAAGATCCGGATCGATTACCGGGTAATAATCAATTTAAATTGGTTTTTAAGTAAGACCAATTCATTATTGATACAATTTTATACATTATTTTCTAGGCGGATTAAAATTTGTAATATGCGATCCAGATTATTTTGCAACTCGTGGAATCGCTAGAGTTTTTAGAGGTATAAAGTCATTTTGGCCATGGAATAGCCGATTACGTAAAATAAGTATTCCTTCTACAACTACTTCCCCGATAATTAACAATCTTAGTGGTAAATCGACATCAAGGTTCGAACGAAACTCTCAAAATGAGGAGTCTGATCAAGTTATTAGAATGAGGAAAAATCGAATAATGATTAATTCAAATTCATCATCGTCATTGTCAATAACTCCAATTTCCCCTATGTCTTCAGCATTTATATCATGGCCACCGAAAGTGAGCCATTTATTCATGCAGGTTTGTAGTATTGTGAATTTTATTATTAAATCAAATGAAATGTAAATTAATTATATTTGAATCCATTTCGATGTTATTAGAATTTACCTATTCCATTATCAGCAATATTCTTTCAATATTTATTATTATGGAGACGGTTAAGTTCACATTATTTTTCTTTTTATGTATTAAGATGTCTTGTTAGTGGTGAAACTATAAAACCAATAGCTAGACTTCAGTATCCAATGTTACCTGAAACTAGGTAATTGCCTTTTTCTTTTTTTACTTTTCATAAATTATGTTCACATCGTTTATATGTTCACATGATGTTATAATAATTTTAGACCTAATTTAATGAATTTTTGGTTGTTCCTTAAAATAAGTTTTGCTGTACATGATGAATAATATAAAGTATGATGGTATAACAAATAATTAAACTTCAATTATTGCAAAATATATAAAATACATAAAAGAAATATAAAATTATATATATAGAGTTATAGGTATACAAAATATTAATAAAATAATAGATATAATGATTCTGAATTTTAAAAAGCCATTAACTTTTTGAAAAAAAAATGGTAGTAATTATAATTGTTTCTATAAAATTTTTTAAATATTTATTAAATCAAAACAAAAAATAATTTAATTTAAAGTAATAAAATAAATTAATAAATTTTGATAAACATTTTTTAAAAAAAATAGATTTAATAAAAAACCTTTTTACAATTGAAATTATAATAAATTTTTTATTAAAATATATATTTTAATATATTAAGAATTATTAGAATTTATTTTGAAAATATCAAAAATATTTAATAAATCATAATCTATTAGTAAGAGTATATGATAATATTAAAAAAATGATTTAATAAAAAATTAAAATGAAATTGATAAAAAGGTATAATTAAAGTAATAATAAATTTTTTTAAAAAATTGTATCAATTAGTTTATTTAGTATTCTCTCAATAATTTATATTATTTAATAAATATACTTTAGATTTGATCAACTAGTCAAATGAAATCCTTCACAATTTAGATATAAACTATTTGAATTAATTAAAATAATGTTATATATTTTACTTATTTATTTTTTATAATAAATTTAGAAAACAATAATAAATAAAAATAAAAATAATAAAATAATGATTATTTTGTTAATTTTATTAAATTTTAATGATATACAATTATGAAAAGTTTATAGTTTATAGAGAATCAATAACAAGAAATAAATTTGATCAAATTTTAGCAATAATAAATGCAGATAATATGCTTAAAATAACAATTTAATACGTTTAAACATTTAAAGAATTATCAGATCACTTATAAAGTAATAATCGAAAAAAAAAACACATAATAAAGTATAATTATTAAACTTTAAAATAAAAAATGCAAATAATTATTGAATTAAAAATATTATTAAAGTTATTATTATTATTATATTTTTAATGCTAAATACTAATATAACTTTTTCAATTTTTATTTGTAAGATTTTTAATATCAAAATTGTTAGAAGTTAAAAATGTAATATATTTATATTAATACCTTTTAGAACTTACTTTATTAGATGTATCTAATATGAATTTTCCAGTTAAGTTATATATTGATCAGTAAATATCACTATAAATATAGTGATGTCTACTTACATTATAGTGATACCTACTTACAGCTATATTGATGCCTACTTACTTATTTTTATACATCTATAACCTTTCTATTACTTTATTACTATCCATTTGTTTTTATTATTCTACAACTATTTGGTTGCTTTATAGATATTGCTTGATTTTATTGCTCTGTTCTCTTTTACTGTCTTGTAACTATTCGTTTAATTTTAATGCTTTGTAGTCTTTTTATGACCAATTTGCTATATTGGTATTTATTGTAAAATTCATATGATCAGGTGATGCAGTTAAATTATATAACTTTATTTTAGTTAATTTCAGCTTGAATTATTATAATTTACTATGCCAAAAAAATATGTGTAAGGTACATTTCTATTACCTTCCCGTTACTTTTAAAGAACTGGCTAGAGGATCAAAAGTATTAAAATCAGTCTATATAATTACCAGGAATTAGTGTCAAATTTGCAATCTATTTATTTTTCTCTCAATTGCTATTTTTTGATTGTTAGATGAGACATAAAGTGCTAAATTGGTGACTCACACAATTCTGCCTTTATATTTTTATTTGATTACTAGATTAAAACACGAAGTATTTAATTTGCAATTCATCTATTTACTGAAGATGTACTGCAATTCATTTACTCACTTTTTGATTACCTGTGAGATATAAAGTGTTGATGTTGTGCTATTCTTGCAATCTCGTCTTTTATGATCCTTTTGATTACTAAGGATGAGACACAAAATACTGAATTAGTTTTGTCTATACAGTTTTTATACCTATTTTTTCTTATATTTTCTGAGACTTTTCGCCTTTCTAATCCTTTTTTTGTTTATCAGCAGTAGTACACCAAAGCATAACTTCTTATTTCTTTCCTATATATTATTCTACTTTGGTATACTATCAAATTTATATCTTATTTTTCACTCTTGTATTTCTAGAACTCTTTTCCATATAGTTACTACTTCAGGATACTTTAGGATATTACCATATCGATCACTTTAGAGTACTACTGCATTGTTTACTTTTTTTCAGTTTAGCACTGAGTACTACTACTGATCCAATGTTTTACTAGCAAGCGTATTTATCTAAAATTATATAAAATTTTATTTTAAACTTTGCAAGTTTCTCTATTATTTTATACTGATTTCTTACTTTCTTACATATACTATTATACTCAATTAAAAAAATCCTAGGTCTAGTCCTAAAATAATAAATGAAGCTATTAGGCTCTTTTCAAAGTTAGTGAACTTTGACTATGAATCTGGTTATAATGATCATGTATATTTTCAATATTGTCTAATAATGAAAATGATACTCTCTTCTAGACGCCTATCATTCTAAAGAAATTTATTTAAAATATATTATTTGAGTATCTAAGAAGAGTTTTATAGTAGTTGATCATTTATCTGAAGTTTATGAATTACCAGATACTCATGAATGCATTGATGAGAATTTGTCTCTTCACCTGATTTTAGATATTAATGTAAGGCAAAAACCTGATCTTATGAATTCTGAACTCCTTTCTTTAGATAAATATAAAATTTCTTGTAAAGATTTATTATCCAAAATCTTAATTGTCTGTGCTGATGTTATATATTCTGATTTAAATCATTTTATAATTTTAAATGCTTTTGCTTTAGCCAGTTCATCTAATAATAATAAATGCAGTTAGCATATTGTATATCCTTATACCTATTTTATTAATTATAGAGACCTTAAGAGTTTTGTAAAAAAAGTTGCTGATAGAATTGGAAAGCCATATGGAAGGTTTGCTAGAAAAAAGGGACTCTGAGATCTTTTTACTAAAATTGAAATTTTTGTTTTATATTAATCTATGCTATAATAATTTTAACTAGTTAAATTTTTAAAGTATTTTAACTTAACAGTCGGTATGCATGTCCAATTTACATGTCGATCATAATTAAAAATTCTTGTGTAATATTCGTCTAGATATTTCATTAAAGTTCTTTCATTCTAAATCACAATATAATCGGTTTTTATTCTTAATATAATTTTTTCAACAGCACTTCTTCTATCAAAATAACTAAAAGTTTGGCCTTTTCTGCTTTCCTGCGAAATTTTATTTTATCAGCAATTTTACCTATTTTTGACATTAAAACCTAAGATTCTTTTGTTACCAACTTTTAAATAAAAAAAAAAGTACTTAGCGATCTTTATTTTTAGCAAATCCTTTAACGTAATCACTTTAAGAAACCAAATGCAATAGAACTTCTTATGAAAAATGCTATTTATTTTTTATATAATGAAACTTTAAAAAATTTTTGATTTTATTTAAGGTAAAATTATTAAATTTATTCATGGTTATTATTTTTATTACACCTATGATGAGATATATATTGATTAATCTGATTCTTATCCCATTCATTTCCCAATGCTTCTCCAACCTGATTTATTTGATCACTAGTTGGATATTTAGAACAAATCACCAATGGTTTTAAAAGCTCTTTTTCTTCAAGTTTAGTTTCACGATGAGTTTGCCTTTGTTTCTTCTTTAGTGGTCCATCTTGATCTACTATATTCGTTGAATCAGTTGGTGTCCGTTTGTCTGAAATAGCTTGATGAGAATTTTCTGTATTTGATTGTGATGTTGATGCAACAGTAGCTATAACTTTTTTCTTTTTTAAATTTTGATCGTTAGGTTTCCATCTCGTAATTCCTAGCTTTCTCCTTCCAACTTTATTACTTTTTTGTATTGAAATGACGTCTTGTAAGAAAATTGCTTCTATTCTTGAGATTACATCAGGGAAACAATTACTAAGACATGCAACACCACTTGCTATAAGTTGATTAGGAGAGGTAGTATTCCACAAAGGATTTTGATAGCAATTATATTCATCAGAATGGCAAAATGATGACAAAAGTTCATTTACAAGATTCCACATAACTGATTTACGGGTATTTACAGCTCTTTATCCGATTGATCCACAAGGATCATTGAGATATTCTGATAATAATATTCCTATACAATCTCGTTCACTTTGAGCGGTTTTAACTTGTAACTTTAAATTATTGACATCAATTATATTTCTAGTAATGTTCTGTTTAATAAACTTAACGCCGAATGTCTCTAGTGCTTCATCAAAAGCAAAATAGTGACCTTTTCATTTCTCGTCATCATCAATTTTAACTGATGATACACATTCTAATTTTTCTTTGAGTTTAGGATACTGAGCTAGTATTCCAAGGTATTTTGCAACAGATACTGAATAATTTGATTTTCCTGCTGATGTAAATAATCTTGCAAAACAAGCCAGAGCATTTTTTTGTAATTTATAATTACCAATACGAATTCCAACATGATGAGCTTTGAAGATTGACGCCCATTTATAATAAAGATACTATATTCGCAAAACACTATTAGCACCACTATTTACATCCATAATATTATCTTTATTGAGTTTTGTTTTTTTTATGTAAATGTGAATAGCAATAGCTACTGCACATCATATTAATTCTAAGACACGAACTGTGGAACGATAATCTATAACTTTATCAAGTTTATCTAAAAATTTGACTCCTAATGCTTTTGCAAGATCAAAAATTCTATAGCTTAAAAATAATACAATTAGAACTCCACACATATCCTTCAATGTATGCCATTGGCCAAGGATAGGTCGCAGATTTGGCCATTGTTCTCGTTGTTTGATTAACCTTCTAAAGATTGCTTCATCAGCTACTACATCTAAGTAATTATGCGATTCTAATTTGAAGTCTTGTTTATACATTTCTGTAGATTGAAATATTCCTTCGTCTGAATTTGGAATTCCACCAGTTTCTAAAATGACTATATTAGGTGCATCAGCTGAACAACCATGATCAACATTTTCAAGAATTTTTTGGTGAAT